CCCCGCTGCCACCCCGGCGCGCAGCCCCTCCGCACCCCGCCGCTTGGCCCGCGTTTAAAGGGGCAGCTGCCCCACTCCGACCCCCAAGCACCCCCAGTCCCTGATGTTTGGGAAGCGACCCCCGCGCTCTCTTGGGTGGGAGCAGCACAGACACTGGGTCTTGGCCTCGTGCGCGCCCACGAACCCAACAACCTGGGGTCTCCACCCTTGGAGCAGGGGTTTCCCGGCGCCAGAGCCGCTCTGGCCCCCTTGGGGACTCTGGGGATGCGAGGAGCCCAGCGTGTCGTGGTGTGGAGCCAGCAGGCGCTGGTGTGGGGTGCCGGCAGGCAATGGGGGGGTCACTCTGGCGCGGTGCGGAGACTTCGCTTCCCCATGCCACCAGGGCAGCGCGAGGTACCCAGGCGGCAGAGACCCCGGACAGCCTGTGCACCAAGTCCTGGTGGGTCTCCGCTCACAACTTGAGCTTGGTTGGGGTAAAGGGCGGGCAACTCGCACTTGGCCTCACCCCCGTGGACCCCGTCGCCCCTTCGGGGGAGGAGACGCAGCGTCGCCAACTCCAGGTGCCAGCCGGCAGCGGGGCGCGGGGCGCGGGGCGCGCGCCCATTTCCACTGTTTTCCCTGCTCTCACGCCCTCTCCTGGCGTCCCCGCATCACCTCGCGCCACCGCCGCCGCCCTCAGCCCGCGGCCGCCGCCGTCTGGAGGCGGCGATGACTCAGGGCTTTCCCCGGCGGCGGCCACCGCTGAGGGCTCGTCGGGTGAAGTGGCTCGGCCAGGGGGCTTCTGTGAGCATCTTTTTTTCGGAGCGCGACAACAGGTGCTGCCCCCGTGTGATCTCTCTCTCCAGCAAAGCTAGCCTCCTCTCTGCCTCAGTTTCCTTATCTGCAAAATGGTCTGGAGAGGACCTGTGAGACTCAGACTGTAAAGGGCTCAGGTGTCCTGAGAGTCAAATGAAAGATTTCTTGAGCATCTACTATCTCCCTGGCACTCTGAACGCGAGACAAAAATGCCCGCCCTTCTGGAAAGGAGCGCCCTCCTGGGCGAAACAGACAAGTAACGGGGAAATCAGTAAAATGCACAGAATGTCAGGAAGAAGGGAAGAATTAACCTTAAACAGAGTGGGTGAGGAAGATGACGAACAAGAATGATGTGAAGAAGGAAGCCAGTCGAGTGTCTGGGGAATGAGTTCCAGGATGGAGAAACAGCAAGTGCAAAGGCCCTGGGGCAGGTATCAAGAAGGAGAGATGAGGCCAGTGTGGTTGGAGGAGAGTCAAGGGGAGGAGATAATACTTGTAAAGCACTTTAGGGGGTGTCTAGAATATGTTGAGCATTTTATAAATAGTAGCTGTAATTATTAATTTACTCCTTGGAGAGGGACATCATGCTTGGGAGGGTGGAGGGACAGCGCAGGAGGGAAAGACCCTCTATGAGATGGATTGATTCGGTGACTGGGGTAATCGGGATGGGTGTGTCAGAGGCGGTGCGGTTGGCGCAGGATAGA